GTACCATGTGTTTTAAAACTTTTACATTAGTTGTTTTGTATTTTTTTTAATTGAGTGGGTTGAGAAAGATAGGATTTCCGTGTGTTGTGGGTTGGGAAAGATGAAGAAAAAGAAGAAACACAAATTAATGTGACAGTGGGTCCAATGGGTTGGGAGGGAATGATTCCCTCCTCCCTTATTTATAAAAGGTAGAATTAACATTAGCATTTAATTTTCAAGCGATAGAATGCAACACCTCAATGTCTTAGTCCATAGAGTATGAAAGCTAAAAACCGAAGACTTTCAAACTTTAAAGCTCGAAAGTAGTGAACAGACCCTTGTAGTCAGTTGCTGAATATGGAAATGTTAAGGAAAAAACCGAAAGGCTCGAAAATATTTTTATTATAAAAAGAAACCAAATAAGATATAATATCGGGTATCATTTAACAGTATCATAATACATACATGCAGTAGTTTGGATGGAGGGAAAATATCACCAATAGACAAAAAAAAATGGGGGGCAATTTCAAAATTTAGTCATAAAAATTGACTTTTCCAGCTATATACATGCATTCCGCGGAGGAACCTCTGTGGACCTCCGTAGAATGATGTCACGTCCGTGGAATTTGAAAAAATGTGATTTTTTATTGTTTAAAATATTGTTCTGCGGGGGTCCTCTGCGGAGACATTAACCCCTCCGCGGAGTAAGTTGTTTGGCAGTTCATAAATCCCTCCGCAGAGGAGGTGACGAGGAGCTCTGCAGAGAGATTAATGTTTCCGCGGAATGGGTGGTTGCAACGTATTTACGACGTTTTTTTTGATATAAAGTTTTGTTTTTTTTTTGTTTTTTTTTGTTTTTTTTTTTTTTTTTCCATTTTTTAGCTCCATTTGCAATATTAGATCAGTTTTAGTGTTACAAATTTGTTTTCAAAAGAAATATGAGTTTTGTTATTTTATGTACTGGGGGTTTTTGGTAGATAACTAACGGGATTAACACCTACGTTAGACCAAAGTTTAACAACTTAGGTTTACTGCTTCCGCCAAATTTTGATCGTCGAATATTGTTTGATTTGGTCAAAAGTAAGGCTAATGTGGTCAATAATAATATATCATTGTCATTTTAACACCCGGTTCATGGGTATGTTATGAATATTGTAGACGAAGCAGATGTTTATCAACTCAGAAATGTAATTTCTGAAACGAATGAGATTGTGCATTTGTATTTGGAGGTGTTTGAGTGATGGGTCGAACAGACAGAAGCGGTTGATAAGATTTTACCGTACAATGTTGAAAACATTATATCTGATAATGTTAAAGAGTGTCCACAAGAAGAAATTGTGGCAGTGAATACAGTGGAAGAAGAAAATTTATATGAGTTTGGAAGACTAGCTGACAAAACTTTTTCAGACGGTGAAGAGTCAAATGAAGGATGATCAGAAGATGAGTTCACGCACGGGAAAAAAGCTTCAGACATATTTTACGGTATGCCTCCCATACCTGATTGTCATGATCCTATTATTGAACCTGGACCATTTCACAGTTTAGGTCCAAATGATGATATGTTTGTTCGTCAAACATATGATAACAAACAACAACTAATATTTGCTTTGAGTCATAAAGCCACTAGAGAAAAGTTTCAGTTTAAGACTAAACATTCTAACAAAAATCGTTATGAGGTATATTGTGAAATTAAGAACTGTAGTTGGTGTTTATATGCAAAACGCCTTGATCCCATTAATGAATTTGAAATCAGGACTTCCAACAACGTGCACACATGTTCGTCATTACAGATACACCTAAATCATAAGCATGCAAATAAAAAAGTCATGGGTACTATATTGCATGAGATTATGGGAAAAACTCGTTCCAAGGTTTGGAGGCCTAATGAAATATCAAGGGATTTGAATGTGTTGCTGGAATTCAATGTAAATTACAAACAAGCTTGACGTGCAAAACAATATGCTATGGAACTGTTGTTGGGACCCTCTGAAGAATGTTTTTCCAAACTTCCTATTCATGTTCACAATTTGAAGATGCATAATCCTGATACGGTGGCCTATATGCAAACAAATTCAAAAGATTGTTTCGAGTGTTGCCATTGGGAGCACGGTGAATACAAAAACTTGTTATTTAATATATAATTACTTGTAAAAAAATTTATAGTGTTTATGTGTTCCATTTTCATATACTGTAGATACGAGCGTTCAAACGTTTTTGTCGTAAAGTGATAATTATGGATGGTGCCCATTTGAAGGGTGATTTTAAGGGAACCATATTGCATGCAATCGCTATGGATGAGAACAACCAGATAGTCCCTTGCCGACGGAATATGAAAAAAAAGAGTGATCTTACTTGGACATGGTTTCTTGAAAAGTTGTATGAATGCGTTGTTGATTGTCAAGATTTGACGTTTGTAACTGATAGGGCCAATGCAATTCGGGTTAGTATTGAAAATGTTTTCCCACATGCTCATCATGGCGTATGTGCTTTTCATCTACTAGGAAACATAGTACACATGTTTGGGGAAAATGATAAAACAAAAGTGTTGTTTTGGAGGCTTGTAAGAGCTTACAAAAGAAATGTTTTGAAGATTTGTGGTATAGATTTAGTACTACTAGGCCACAAGTAACGGCGTATCTAAATGAAATTCCACGTGCTAACTGGACTAGAGCATATTCCCCGTCGAAACGGTACGATTACATGACCTTGAACAGTGCAGAGTCCATGAATGCTTTATCTGTAGATGCAAGGAAGATGCCTATAGTACCCCTTCTTGAGTTCTTCCGTTGTCTTTCACAGGAAGGGTGTAACAAGCGTCGATTGGATGGAGGTATGACTTTAATTTGGACTTTCATTATGTCGAATAATAAGTTCATTATATATATGTTCTTTATAGTTCAGCGTATTTAAATGAAATTCCACGTGCTAAATGGACTAGAGGATATTCCCCGTCGAAACGGTACGATTACATGACCTCGAACAGTGCAGAGTCCATGAATGCTTTATCTGTAGACGCATGGCAGATGCCTATAGTACCCCTTCTTGAGTTCTTCCGTTTTCTTTCACAGGAATGGTGCAACAAGCGTCGATTGGATGGAGGTATGACTTTAATTTGGACTTTCATTATGTCGAATAATAAGTTCATTATATATATGTTCTTTATAGTTCAACATTCAACAATACTAACAGAGTGGGCTGAAGAAACCATGAGAAGTTCATTGGAAAAGCGTTAGTAATTTCCAACAAAATTCCAACAGAATATTAATTAATATTTAAAAATACAATGTTGTATGAATTTTGTAGGAAAACTAAAAGCAGGAGAACAAAATTTCTATGGAATATTAACTAATATTTAAAAATACAATTTTGTAGGAATTTCATAGGAAAACTAAAAGTGGGAAAAGTGAAAATATTTTCCTTTTTTTTTGTTTTGTTTTGCCTTTCCTTCTCTTTTTTTGCCTTTCCCCCATTTTTTATAAATATTATTATTACTACTATTATTGTATATTATTATTATAAAAAATATTGTTTCATATTATTATTAAAAAATATAATAATAATTATTAATATAATAATAATAATAATAATAATAATAATTACTTTTATTTTGATTATTATTGTTCTTATTTTCTTATAATTAAAGTTTTTTATTATTATATTTATTATACTTATACTTTTTGTTATTCATATTAGGTTTATTATAATTATAATATATTTATTTATATTATTATTATGATTGTATATCTATGTGTATGTGTGTGTATATATATATATATATATATATATATATATATATATATATATATATATATATATATATATATATATTTGTATGTGTAGGGGTAAGTGTATGTGTACGTTTATAAGGTTTATGATATGTAGGGGTTTATGGTTCAGTGTTTAAGGTTTTAGAATTTTGGTGCATGCATATGTATATTAATGTACATGTGTATGTATGTATGTGTACCTTTATGCATGTACATGTGTGTATTAACATGTAAGTGTTGTAATATGGTAGAGATGGTTCGACTGAGGTTACAGATGGGCCCCGTGCAAGTTTTGTCTCATGATATCATAGTGAAAAAGAGAAAGATGATCATTACCGACGTCCGGGAGGAATTCCAGGGACGAAGCTCCAACGATCAAGTTATACCGAGATCTGAGAGAAGTAAGTGTACATCACAAGAAAAAGAGTTTGTCCCTTTCTTTGTGAGGAAGAAGGATCCTTTTATACCTATTAGAGAAGCGTGTGCCCCTCAACTGATTCTGTTGAGCATTCCCTCGTGAGGTGTAACGTTGCAAAACCCACATTCGAGGATCCTCCGTCATGTCTTTTGCCTCATCCCCCCATTGGCTAGAGGGGAATCTTTGGATATTATTATGATCGTGGCTATCGTCTGATGGGCAAGTGGAAGACTCTGATTGGTCCCACGTGTTCCGGGGTGTCACTCCTTGGAGAAGAGGTTAAGGCACAATTGTGCACCTTAACTGTCATTCCAGTGATCTTTGCCTAGGAGAAGGCCCGACCTTGGCCTCAGTCTAAATCTAACCGGGCTCTGACTTGGTCAAGCTTGGCGTCAGTTAATCTTCTCCTTTTTTGACGTTATCCCTGAGGGATACGTTAACAAGTCCCTTAGGCTTGTAGGTATATGTTTCGGCTTGGTAGCATCGCCGTTCGAGCCTATATATCAACACGTGTATGTTTGAGATTGTTACTAGCATTTGATAGGCTTTAGACAGCACCGTCAATGGGTGTCAGATCCATCGAGAGACGCTTTGTGACGCCGCTTTTATCTCTAAAATCCCCCTTTTCCCAAGACTTTTCATCCTCACATCCCTAATTTTCCTTCATTGTATCAATCCGAGCATTCTATGAATTTTCTTTTCGATCACTAATCTTTTTTCGATAATGGACTGTTATGGTAGAGTCCCTATTGCAGAGGAATTTCGATTTCTGCAAGACCGCTTCGGCTTCTTACCAGAGCATGGTGTAATGATTTGGGCAAAGGGGTTATTGATCTATGATTGTCCTCAAGAGGGTGGGAGTTCCGATCCCTTTATTTGAAGCGGGGTTGCGCCTGCCGACATCTGATTTATTCAACATGATTGTGGATCACTATGGCTTTTTCGTTGATGAGTTAACCCCATGCGCTGTTAATAAGATCGTAGGTTTTGAACTGATTTGTCGATCTTTGGGTTGTATACCCACTTTTTGGGCTTTTAGTTACTTTTTTTTTGTTCAACTACAAATTCTGGCGTCCATACTCTAGCAAAAAGGTGAGGTATTCATCAGTTGATCTCTAAACAAGATGCTCCAATGAAGAATTGGCATAGCCAATGGCTCTAGGTTAACCGAAACCTTGTGTGCCGTGGGTTTCGCAAAACAAGAGATTTTCCTGACGGTCTTCCCAAATTATTTGGGAGTAACCTAGCTCTTAGCAAACGACTAGGAAACATTACTGTCATTGGGGGGAACTAGGAAGATTTCGTTCTTGCCGTGGCCGGTATGAGTGTCGCCTGGAGAGCTCGTGGGAAGATGGCGCAGTTATACGTCGTGAGACGCGGTATTCACTCATTTCCTTGTCTCCCCATTTTTTTAAAAGAAAATAGAATATGGACAGAGTATATTATACTTGTTAGCTTATGAGATCTTATACTTGACGTTTATTTGAACAGGTGCTGAAGCTGAGATTTCTTTGGAGATGGTCATGCGCGGTCACTACCGGGGTAAGCTTTATCACAGGGAGATTGATCTTGCACTGGCTCTTCCCCCTTATGTGTCTGAAAGACGCATGAGAGATTTCACTGGATTCTTCTCAGCAGAAGGAAGAAATACTGGTTCTAGCGGGCCTGCTTCACCTTCCCAATCAACGATTGGGGTTGTTTCTCCGGTTCGTTTGCCGGTTCCAGCTTCTTCCTCCTTCCATGCGGGGTACAAGTAGAAAAATGTACTGCCCCTATTCGGAAAAGTCGAAGTTTACGCGTGGTGCCATCATCGGACGAGGAGACTGAATCTGATGATGCAGGCCTCCGTCCTCGTAACGTGCATAAGATTGTTTCTGTGACCAAGCTTGTTGGTGGTATCAGAGATGTTCTTGGTGATAGGTTTTCTATACCTGAACAAAAGGAGAGGGTGGTGGTTTCTAGTTCCTGAATGACACCACCTTCACCGTTGACTGGTTCCCTGGCAATTGATCTTGGTTCCGACTTAGTGTGTGGGGGTGGATTGGGTTCACCTGGAGGTTATTTCCAGCCGGAGAATCCTTCCTTAGTTGACGAAATAGGGACTTCGTCTCACTCCTTGTCTTTCGAGGCCTATGTTCCGGGTTGGGCGATTACTAGGGATTCCTAAATGTCGGATGACATCACAGCCCAGGAGTGGAGCAGTTGTGCTCACCCTCCAGATACGATGAATTTTCTTGCGGGCCAATCAAACGTTCGTATGGCCGGTGACTTTCATTATGCCGCGGCTCAGGCTTCTGCCCTCATGGTTGCTGCCGCCGACCGGGTTTGCCACGCCAACATGAGTAAAACATGGTTAAAAACTTTGCAAGTGGCTGTGACAAGCATAAGGGAGGAACTCCAGGATTCAAAGGATGAGCGCCAAGTACTTTTTGAGCAAAATTGCATTGTAGCTTGCAAAAAGGCCACTTTGTAAGATCATGTGGCCACTTTAGAGGTTCAAACAGAGCGACTCGAAAGTCAAGTGGGTTCTCTTATTCAAGAAAAGGGTATGTTAATAGGCGAGTTGGCTAGGTGCCAACGTCAATTGGCCCGTACCCGTGTTGATGGTATCATTGCTCGAGGTGGTTTATGATGGATGCTAGAGAAGGGAGTGGCTCGCGTAATTGATAAAATTATTTAGAGTGTGGAGTTTGCTGACGGGATCCAAGGCATTCGTAGGTCGTGTGAAGCCCTTGGGCTTGATAAGGGGAAACAACTAGGTGGTTTTTCCACCATCTCCGGCAAATCCGAAGCCCCGAATCCTAGAAGTGTTGTGAGGAAGGCTGAAGAGGTGGATATTACTTTTACATCTCTTGCTGAGATAGATTTTGCAGGCCTCTTTCGCCTGGGGGAGCTGGATTATGGTAGCTTCCAC